CTTCGTCCAACGAATCGCGAGTGACGCGTGGGCCGCAGCTACCGCTCTAAACGCAACGAACTCGCATTTACCCGAACGACATACGCCAGAGAACCGCGGAAACGATATCGATGGGTCGCGTCGTATACGACGAATTCGAGGTTCCTTTCGTTTGGAAAATCGTTCGTCATCGTCAGCTTCGGTGACGAGCAGGAGAAGGAGAAGGAGAAGGAGAAGGAGAAGGAGAAGGAGAAGGAGAAAGAGAAGGAGAAGGAGAGGGAGAGGAAGCAGAAACGGTTGCCTGCCTAGGGGGTTTACTCGAATCGACGATTGGAGTGGCGCGACCGCGAGCCATCGATATCGCGTAGCAGTGGCTGGCGGATGGTAATAGAAGATGACGCAATCGCGAGTCGAGCGATATCGCGCTGCTCTGGCCGATCTCGTAGCGCGGGTTCGACGTTCAGCCTAATCGAAACCGCGTGCCGCTCCGACTCGAGCGATCGACCGCTACAAGGCACGGTATGTAAGTACGTATCCAGCGTGGTAGCAGAAACGATCGAAAGAGATTCATCGATTCGAACGTTTCGTCGGTCTGGACTCGGTCCAAAATTCCTCTTAACAGCGAAGGACGAGGGACGGGCAACGATCCGCGCGATCAGCTTTCTCTTCCTCGGGCTCTCGTTTCGATCGAGCGCGATTTCGTTCGCGTTATTCCATCGTTTACCGTGCGCACAGCGGTCGGAGAACGAAAAAAGAAGCGAGATTTTTGAACGAGAGCCAAAAACCGCGACGGTACCTACTCGCACGGAAAAAAGTCTCCCCCTGAGCCGTTTGTTTCTCCTGCCAAGTTAGATTTATCGAAATTCTAAGCATCCGGCTGGTTCGAGGCTATCCGCGCGCCATGCCACACCGTCGCTCGCGATCTCTTCGTTTTTGCTCCTTCGCCCTAGCCGTGCTCGGCATCCTTCGCGTGATTTATCCCTGTTTTATGCGTTCGCCTCGCGATGCTCCCGATCTCGCAGCAACCAACACCTGCGAAACCTTTTTACATGGATGGATCGTCCTTCGTAGACACGTGGTTCGCACCGGTCGAAAACGAAAAATGCTTTTTCACTCCGACTACTAAAGAGAGAGAGAGAGAGAGAGAGAGAGAGAATGGGAGAAGAAAGCATGTGGAAGAAGGGCAACTAGGTAGTTGCTCGCGTAGGGGCGTACAGGCGTACGAAGCGGAGGACGACCCGGAATGGCAGGCAACCCAGCTGACAGAAGAGTGCGAACGGCACAGGAAAAGGAAAAGAGGTTAAAGAAGAACCGAAACGAGTCGCGTTCCTCGAGCGAGGGCACTCGGGGTCGCGTTCGCAGACAGATGCATCGTCGTCGCGTCGCGCCGACCAGAAATCACTGCCGTGCGTCAGGGAAAATGCGCTCGGCGATTGTTTGTATATGGAAAGACGATCGTGCGGGAATGTTCGGAAACGCACGCGGACGAGCAACGTGACGCGTCCCTCTCGCTAGAATTCGCTCCGTTCGTCGAGGCTTACCTGGACTCGTCGACGGCAAAGTCCTACGACGCAGCCTCGCTTCGCACGCTCTGCTCCTTTCTGCTGCATTGCATTGGTTGGGCGCGTTTCGATTGAACGTGCAAAATTCTGTAATTCTGACATATATATTTCTTTACATTTAGACGTATATTCGTGTTTATATTCGCGCTTACGTTCGTATTTATAATCGTATTTATATCTGTATTTTATATATTTTATATATATATATATTATATATATGTATAATATATATGATATATATATAATATATATATATGCATATATATTAATTATGTACACGTTTTATACAAAAATCTTCTCGCGCCTTTATACATAACGCTACATAAATGTCATTTCGGTCTACGTACACTCAACCACAACGTAATTCGTATCCGATATAATACATCCTTCAGCATTCTCGAAAAATTGCGTTCGACGAAGGGAACGCGTCTCGAGGACAGCGAACCCCGTTCGCATCGTCGATTCGGTTCTCGCCTCGGCCGCGTTCGCTTCGTGGATTTCTATCGAAACGCGCTGCTGTTTCGCTCTTTGTTTGTTTGTTTGTGTGTGTGTGTGTGTGTGTGTGTGTGTGTGTGTATGTCTGTTTTTGTATGGGTGCGCTTGCGCATTTAAGAAACGATCGCTGCTTAAAAATATTAGAAATATCCCATATACCCTTAAATGGTTGTCTAAGTAACTAGAGTTCGACATCGCCACATACTTATCGTAGCGCGCTATTCGATAATTTCGCTCGTTTCGAACGATTCGTCGTTCGACGTCTCGGCAAACTCTGTACAGCGCATCGAGCCTGGCTACAGCGTACAGTATTCGTAACGTAAAAAAGCACCGTGTGTCGAGAAATCGGATTTCAATTTCGACGTACGCGTATATCACATTGCGTTCGCCGAGTTTCCCCGCAATCGTTTCTTACCGTGTCCATCGTTGACGCTGTCGCGCTATCGGCGCTATCGCGAATTTATCAAACGACGGGCGACCAGCGATCGGTCGAACATATTCGCGGAAGAAAAATATATTTGTTCGTTCTCGGCTGGTCGCGTCGTTTCCGAACGCGTTCTTCGAGCGGGTCGCGACTCCTGCAAACTGCGAGACCGAATCGGAACGGACATCGGCCCGCTGATTCCTCGCCGAACGAGATGGTCGTTCGGCCAGCGAAAAAGCACGCGATAGGGAATCCGCGAAAGCGAATACGATACGAATCGAGAGGTAGACGTCGACCGGAAGATAGGTACGCGACGCGATCGCTCGCCTCGTCGTCTCGGTGGAAGGTGGAAGGAAGAAACAGCCTGCGAACGGATCGCGTGCATTCGGCTCGATCTCGCGAATTTTATTCGTTCGAACGCGCGTTTCGCCGTACGAACTTCGCGAGAGTCGCGAGACGCAACGCGGAGGAAAGAAAACCTTTTGCACGGGAGAGTATCTCGACGAGGTAAAACGACGACCGATCGGACGATAATTCGCAAATTGCTTTCGGTGTTTGCGGAAAACGAGTTTCTCTCCGTTGGAGAAAACGATTGCTCGATCCGTGCACCGCGTTACTCGTTACCGGCGTGTCTATCGGTAAGACGGTCCGCGACGTCGTAGACGGTCTTTAAGAGAGAGAAGAAATCGCGCGTTGGAAAACTCGTGGCACGGAATCGAGACGTTCCGAGGGAAAGACGCGGAGAGTGGTCCGTGTAATTGGGTGGCTTCGGTGAATTTCGATGGAGTAGCGCGAAACGTGGTCGGGAAGCGCGAGAGAGCGGATCAAGAAAGAAGAAACGCGAAAGACGGTGAAAGAAAGGTGGAACGAACGCGGACGACGAAACGTCGAAACGAGTGACTAAGGGTTTCGGCGTGACTCGACTAACGGCAATTACTCGACGCGAGATCGATGCGAGATAGCGGCCAGCGAAGGATCTACCAGATCCCCTGCCGTCGATTACAAATGCTAATTTATGATTTCTTCGCGCCGCGTTTCCCCCTTCCACGCCGCTCTTCGTCTCGATTCCGCTTTGCCTTTCGTCCTTTGCCCCGTTTCTTCTCTTTCC